CCCTACTTATGCACAATTATTGGGGGCTGTTTAAATAGACACCTACCCAGACCTTCCAAAACCCCTTAATTGAGCAATATACCTTAAATTAAAGTAGGATCCTTAATATGATTGAAGGTATATTCCTAAATTCAAGGATTTTGGAAAGTCTGGGTAGTTCAACCCTTACAACACAGTCCTTGGATTTCCAAGTACCCGACCGGCAGCTCTGGCGCACCTGCGGCAATCTTGGAGCTTCGTCTACAGCTGATCTTTCCCAGACCTTCCAAAATCCCTTAATTCAGGAATATACCCTAAATCATATTAGGGATCCAACTATAACTTAAGGTATATTCCCCTTAAATCATGTTAGGGATCCTACTATATTTTAAGGTATATTCCTTAATTAAGGGAAGTTGGAAGGTCTGGGTTTCTTTAAAGGAGGACGTAGGGTTTCTAGGCTTCAGGGTTCAGGGTAAAGGGCCGGAGGACGGGAGTGGGCTTTTTGGGTCTCATTAAAGGATCATGGGACTTAGTAACTAGGGTGAAAAATACGGTAAGTATACTTAGAATTACTTATAACCCCAATTAGGATACGAATAACCTTACTTACTAAGTCCCCTGATCCTCCAAGTAGGGCTTCAGCGTTTAAGGGGTTGGCACCCCTTAAGCTAAGAAGCTTCCTTGTCTTAAACTCCGAGTTTCTGGATTCTGATGGGGTTCGTGCGAGATTTACGCTTAAGTATGGTTTTCTGTTCGAAGCGATCTACAAGGCAAGGGCTTCTTCAAATTGAGTTTTGGGTTAAGGGCTTTGGGATGCCGGAGCTTAGGATACTCCAAAACTCTCCTTCGGAGTACTCCTACGATAGGTATCTCCAGGATATACGGAACTGGGCACTTGTTAGGTTTCGTGCAGCTTTAGACGCAAATAGGGGCAATAGGGGTTGAAGTTTACGGTTTGAAGTTTGGGATTTAGGGCACGCGACACTTCGCGACGTCGGACGTCGCAGCAGGCCCCTATCAAAATCTGCTCCGTGTCAAGCATCGGCACTATTGTTCGCCTGCCTGCAGCGCGCATGCAGAATCGAACCCATTACAAACATTTGGTTGATGGCTCTTGTCGCCATCTGCAACGTGCATGTACACGGGCTCCTCTGGGCCCAGTGCTCGAGGTTTTCTGCAATGAACAAAACACTGCAGGACCTAAACCTACATGTGCGGGACTTGGGATTCGTGCTCACTTGGCCTGGCTTTCTCTACGCACTTCAGCACAGAGAGAAGCTTGAGACAAAAGCGGGCCCCATGCCCGAGAAGCCCCAATCCTTGAAACCTATCGATGGACTGAAGGAATAGGTTAACTTCGGGTTCGCCGCAAATACCTCACCAGAAACACACTAGAAGAACAAAGCAGGCGTGTCTTAATGTAACTTAAGGCAAGAGTTCGTAATAACAGCAATATAGTACGCTTCACGAGAACCCTGTGGTTGAATCAGGACTGCGCTTTGTGGGCTAAAGGCAGATTCTATGTTAAACGCTTAAACCATCTTAAACCCGAAATCGCAAGCCCTCCTATACAGTCCATCGCCATCAGTCAGTCTCGGTGCTCCAGTTGCCTGGGTTCTTTGTAGAGGAACTCAGCTTAAGTTACGAGATGACGTTCGGGTTTGGGCCGTAGGCTGTGGGCATTCGGGAGCTCAGCTTAAGTTGCCTGACCCAGAGCTGTTGAGCGACTTTCATCACACTGTGCGAGGCCGCTATCCAAAGTGTTTCATAAAGGCTTTAATTTGTACCCTAAAGCCTAAGCCCTGAAACAAACCTAGCCGCTAAACCCCAAACTCTTAGCCCGAAACACCAAATCGTAAACCCAGCCTTTTCCCTACAATGGTAGATATCAACATCATAAAATGGGCGCAGCTGCCGAGAGGGACAGGCGCCTCTGTTCGACAAGTGAAGCCGTCGAAGGGGAGCTCCTTGGCGGTTTAGGACTCAGGGTTTTCGGGTTGAGGGCTTAGTATTCCCAGAGGATTCATATGTTGGCTGACATAATTGCTGTTTAGGGGTTTTGGTTTGGGGTTTCGGGACCTCATGTTCCCAGAAGGTTCGCATATACTGCCAGTCTGGCATTGACAGCCAGAACTTACTATGGGTTTCGGGGACCTGCTGATTCCACAAACGTAGCATACATGGAGACTCTAGCTTTGTGATTCTTGTCATTGCTTTTGTGAGTCTTGCTATTGGTGTTGTGTGTGTGTGTTTTGCTGTTGATGTGGCGATTATTATTCGGACGGTCTGTTCAGTGCTAGTAAGATTCGTATTCTGAGTCTCATCCTGAATGTTGTTCCTATTATCTGATGCATTACTTTGCTTGATATGATAAAGATGATGAGGAGGATGATGAGGATGAGGATGAGGTTGACGGATGTGGATGCGGATGAGGATGTCTACATCGAGGGTTTGGAGTTGGGGGCTAAAGGCTCTGGAGCATGGGGGCTTAAGTCTGGGACTTTTTTCACACGGTGCAGGTTGGGGAATTGTTGACCGAGGTACTGGGGGGCTTGTTGTTACTTCTACTTAAGGGCTCAAGGGACTCAGCAAGCAGGGGGTGGTAAATGTCCTAAGTAGGGGTATCCTACTTGTAGCCTTACTTACAACCTTACTCACTAAGTCCCATAAGCCTGTAAGAACCTAAGCCCCAAACAGCAAACTCAACCTTACAAGGACACTTATAACCCCAATTATAACCCGACGCCTACTTACCAAGTCCCTTGAGCCCTTATGTAAGTGCTGTGAATCCCCGGAGTTCACTGAATAACACAAGCTCAACGGCCAAGGCTCCCCCGTCTTCCAGTACTGCTCCAAGCGGTTCCTCGGGTTTTTTCGGCTACAGGTTCGGGTTTAGGGTTTAGGATTTAGGGTTTAGGGTTTAGGGTTTAGGTTGGCTGCTTTTTCCAGCAAGTCCGCATGGGTTTAGGGCTTAGGGCTTAGGGTTCGGGGTTCAGGTTTTGGGGCTTAGGGTTTACGGTTGGGCCAGGTGTGGCCCAACTGCTTGGAAGCAGCCTCATAACCCTGAACCCTGAGTGCTGCCCGAGCTAGAAGCTTCAGAAAGACAAACTCGAACACATGCAGACCGACAGACATACTCTAAACTTAGGGTTTGGTATAGTTTCGTGCTTAGGGCCTGTGACCCTGCACATAAATAATGGGAGTTTCCGAAAATGGGGGGTACCTTATTTTGGGGTCCGTAAAATAATGGTCCTACTATTTAGGGTGCTATATTAGGGTCCCCTATTTTTGGAAACCCCCACATAATTGTGCCAAGGCCACAAGCAAGGCTGCATCCCACTGTTCGGGTAGTTGCCCCCAGGCGTCAGGCAATGCCCAACACCCTGCCAGGTCATCATGACGGCGTTCGGCAGGGATTCACCTTCAGTGTACCCTAAACCCTAAACCCTTTGTAGAACCCTGTATAGATCCCTTTAAGGAACCCTCCATAGAACCCAAATAGGGACCCTAATTTTGACAAGCACCCAAAAGGGGCTTCAGCCTGAAAAGTGAGCCTGTCGTCTACGGCAGCATGAAAAAGGCCAGTAAACCCGAAACCACGACCAGACTGGGCCATAAAGTACTTACTTACCAACCTACAACCGTCAAGAAAACTGCAGGTCACCAACCCTTCAACAAGATTAAACCCTGAAGCCTCAAGCTTGATCTTTGAAACATAATCGCAAATGAGCATTTGACTTCCAAGTCGCGCATGTGATTGCTCCAGGTGTAGCTGCAGGCAGGATCGTACAAGTTCCTCGGTTCTTGCTCCAGAACCAGGTAACCTAGCCTGATTTTCCATTGTAGCGAAAGCCTGTTCTGCAGTGCAGTTGTACCAACATATGCTCTTTTGCTCCCCGAACAACGGGGTAACTCTGACGTGATGGGTTGGTATGTTGAGACTGCACATATTCGGCCAAAGCCGCGTTCTTTCCGCGGTCTAGCTGCGGACGCCTCCCCGCTCCCATACTCTAGTGCTGACGAGCTTGAGGAACCTCGCACCAGCTAGAGTTCCGCGTGTACGTGGTGTAGTTTGTGACTGAAAGCCGTGCTTCGGTCGGAGTCCCATGCTCACGTTCGAGTGAAAGCGCTGGAGAAACGGCTTGAACTTGCGACTATGCTCCCTCTACAGTTTGGGACTTATGTTGCATGGAGAGGTCTGAAATGGATCCTGGGTATGTCGGCATTCTGATAGGTGGTGGTCATTATTGCCAAATCACAATCTCCATGATAGCTCGGACGAGAACTTGATCCCTAAAACTGCCCGTAACTTCCTGTAAATCCTTAGCCCTGAATCCTATACTCCGTATTCCCAGACCCGCGGGAGGATCTAGAAAGTAGATCCCCTAATTTGGGGCCCTATACTACTCAGGGTACTTTAGAGGAACCCCCATTATGGGATCTACTTTTTGGATCCTCCCGGGGGTCTGGGATATGGTAGCTTCAGCTCAACCTTTTTCAATAAGAGCCCAGACTCCCCACCACGAGGGCGCGCACGCCGGCGCGGAAGCCCGTCTGGACGAGGCTGTGGAGTACTCGGTTAAGGGTTTTAGGTGATTTAGGGGTTTAGGGGTTTTGGGGTTTAGGGTTTAGGGTCTAGAGGTTCTCTGTAACTTCCGGAATTCGACTCGATCTAGGCTCCCGATACCCAGCCCATGGATTAAACCTTAGTTGTCGAGCGTCCCAGGGGAACTAAAGGTCAAACTGTTGGATTATATAGGATATCGTACCCCAAAACTGTCAAAGGTTGCCTACCTCCACTACTAAAAAGAAATTGTGCAGCAGGCTTAAGTTGCTTAGAGTTCTCATAGGGGTCTTTGGAGGTGCCGGCCCTGGAAATTCATTTCAACTGAACCACATAAAAACTCATGATTGGAATAGGGCTTTGCGGTCTATAAAAGTACAACTACATGTGGAGTATATGATGGAAACCCTAAACCCTAAACCCTAAACCGTGACCCTAAGATGGGATGGCATCATTATGCAAACCCCTCTGTCACAAGGTGCACCCAGAGGCCACTGGCCTGAACGGGTATCGCCTCAGCGTCCCAAGCGAAGAAAGCGCTGAAAATCCCCACGAAGGAGCTGGTAGCCATCTCCTCTTAGAGGGATTGGTGGGTTTCATGATGCTTTGTTATAGATACCCTACGGTTGATGATCTTTATATATACATATATATATATATATACATATATATATACTTTTTCTGCATTACCTTGATGGCCCTAGACGATGGGAATTATGGTATATTCGTATAGTCCTCATTATGGGTTTGGCAGCACTTTTTTCATCAACCGTTCGGCTCTAAACCCTCAACCCAAAACCCCAAACGAGAAACCCCAAAACCCCGAAGCGTATGTGTGCTTCATGACGCTTTGTGGATACTGTGAGGGTTGTTGTTTTTGTTTTTCGGATGCCATAGGGCTTGCATGGATGCTCGGTTCTGTATAAAAGGTTTACACGACTCACTCTCACAACCCTCACAACCCTGAACCCTGAACCCCAGAGCCTGAAACCCTCGGACCCGAAACGGAAGACCCCAATTCCCACATCCCGTCACCCATATAAGATTCGATACTTTCCCACAATCCCTTATGAACCAACACCCTGTAAAAGCAACACAGGACATGCCTAAATAGCTCGTACAGAACCCTAAACAACCCAGTGACACCCTTACACAGAGCCCACTAAAAAGCTTTAAATCCCCTAAACCCCAATTAAACCCTAAACCTTAATCCCCAAACCCTAAACCCTAAGCCCTAAGCTCAACTCCTCCCATTCCGCCCGGAAGGCTCGATAAGCTCCCATGGCTTGGGCCACGGTGAACCTGCCGAAAAGGTCCTGTGCTTGCGGGACGATGAGGTTTTAGAGCTTAGGGATTAGGGTTTCGGGTTTGAGGCTTAGGGCCTAGGGTTTGGGGTTTCGGGGTGAAGGATTAGGGATTGAGGGTTTAGGGTTTGAGCGCTTAGGGTTTAGGGTTTGGGGTTTAGGGTTTCAGGGCTTACAACTTGAGGTTTGATTACAAGGGCTCCATGACGGATCCGCAAGATCTATAAAGCTGCCCGGGTGGAGTTCGTCGTCGTTGGTCTTGGGACTCAGGACCTGGGGCTAAGAATATCGTGGTGTGGGACTGCTGCCTGTCGCGAGCGTGATGGCGTAGATCAACCCATTACTTAAAGGATCATGGGCCTTAGTAACTGAGTTACAACTAGGGTAACTTTACTTATAGCCCCAATTAATGTACTTGTAACCCTACTTACTATAAGTCCCATGATCCTCCAAGTATGGAAGACAGCCTAACGACAAAACCCTGTAAAGCCTCAATCCTACTCCGACCCTCGTAGTTGCATTATGCGGATGACACCTTGCAGCTCTATGTGCAGAGCTTGCTTTCCATGAGGAGCAGAGCCCATCAACCCCCGAATCCTGAAACCCCTAAACCCCTACTTGGAGGGGCAGGGGACTTAGTAAGTAGGTTATAAGTGGAGTTATAAGTACCCTTAATGGAGTTACCCCGATGATAACCCTGCTTATAACCTACTCACTAAGTCCCCTGCCCCTCCAAGTACAGTCCTAACCGCAAAGCCCCTTTGAGCTTCCTGTCTGCCATCTGGTGGTGGCTCTGCTTTTGGACGGTTTAAACCCCAAAACCCTACACCCCTAAAGGTAACAAAAAGACTGAAACACTAAAACCCCAAAAGCCCTAGACCCTAAAACAGTAGCTCTTGAGCGCAGCCGACAGATTCCAGCGCTAAGATTCCAAGCCCCCGAAGCTCCGCCGGTGCCCAAGCTTCCCGTACCTTAAATCCCTAGTTTTCTCATATAGCCCCTATACTAGGTGAAGATTTCAACAGTCTCCAAAATTACTCAGAATTAGGGCTCTATATTATTAAACAATAAGGGAATTAATAACTATAGCAAACGTACCTGGCAGACGACGCTTATAAAGGCTTAGGGCCGCATACAGCTAAACATCCCCCTTTCGCAATCGAAGCCTAATGACGCTTCTTGCCAGCACCGAGAGGGTCCTGCCCAAGGACCGTCCCCTCGTTCACGAAGCCGTCAACTCCCCTCCTCGCAGGAGCCGAAGAGTCAGAGGCAGGGGACTTAGTAAATAGGGTATAAGTAGGGTTATCATCGGGGTAACTCCATTTAGGGTAGGATTGAGGGTTTAAGGCCAGGGGATAAAGGGTATAAGTATACCTGAACCCGAGAAAAACCGAACCTTTTTCAGGTTACTGTCTCTGATTTCCTGATATTACAATTCCGGAGTTCTTTAGACTTCAGACAGTAGGTTTTTTCGCGTTAAGGTTGGCGTTGCGGTGTAGGGCTGCGGGGCTGTCTATCTTGAGTCTTCAAAAGTAGCTGACCGCGCACGCATATCTTTGCAAGCATACCACATAAATCTACATCTTTGTGCTTTCTCTGGAGATCTTTGAACCCTTCCTATAGGTAGAACAAACTTTTTTATAGTTCCTCAGCCCCCATAGGTCCTATGAAGTTCGAGCCCTCCGGATTTTTTCTGTGCTGGCGAGGTCCAGACCGGCAGCGCTGCCGGTATCTAGCCTGAGCGCATGCCCCGGGCAAATGAGGCAACAGATGTTCGTGTTTTTTCACTTTTACTTGCTGATCAGTGACATACCCAGATTTCCTCGTCGAGCCAGGCTTCGTTTTCCTGGGTCGGGATGAGTGATGTACTACTTTTAAGATTTGATGATACTGATGCACTGTGCTACTTGTGCCAAGTGACAGGATCGGGCTCCGCCTCGGGCTGATGAGCTTGTCTCGCCGCCCTCTCTTGTGCAACCTTGGAAAGTCAGTAGAAGACAAATACGCACGTTTCACTTTTTATTAAATGCAGCCGAGAGACAGCCTTCAATGGCAGGGGGCAAACAGCACGATGAGGTGGGAGCCCTCAGCTTAATAAATCGAAAGGCAAAACAATTCTACCTAGAGCAGTCTACTACAGTCTAGTGCAGCTGAGGCGCCTTCGTCCCACTTGTATAGCCACCCCTCCATCTCATGGTCCCAAGCCAGATCATCGATGCTGAAGCATCGCCATTCGTGATTGGGACCCTGTGCCAAGAGGGTTATGTTTATGTGCGCAGTCTTCAAAGCTCCCTTGCACCTCCTTGCCCACGTGCCTCTATCCATTGGAAGCGGAGACATGCGTTTAGGAAAATCTGCGATCTGTCCGGGCTGTGGGTCCAGTAGACTCGCCCGACCTCGGTTCAGTGGCGAATGAGAACAACTGTGAAGAACTTTGTTTTATGTAGCCAAGGCGCTGGATACACACGCCCGTTACGGGACTCCGCAGTACAGACCTGAGTTGTTCGGGTAGGTATGTGGCAACAATCTATATACTGTAAATGATACACTATGATGATATTAAGTTGCGGTCTAGCTGCACCATCAGCCATGCTGCAAGCGCTTGCAAGACAGGAGCAATGGGAAAGCTAGAGAAACTTTGGGCCAAAGCTTTGTGAAAAGAGATTACCAAGCGCGAGCATTCGGGTGAGTTCGGAAATTGCTGTTCTGAAATTTAGAGGCTGGAACTTAGATGGCCGACTATGAGTCGATGGATGGCATGTGAAACCTTACTCGATGATGGGACAATTACCCTGAAAGGAAAGCCATGGCAGTTCACAAAAGACAGGTGCGAGACTGCATTGCAGATTACAGACAAGGATCTCTGTTTTTCAAGCTCTGCATTTGCCGTGTCAGTCTATAGCCGGCTGACAGTGAAACCTGGTCCGAGTCCTCGATTGTGTCTGATACGCACCATGATCGTACGCTGATCTCTCAGCACTGGTAGAAGAACTTGCTCCTCGACAGCAATTTGTCAAACTCTAAGAAACATGTTCTTGCTTTCCAAATATTCTGACGTCTTCTGAACATTTCCCCGCCTTGAACAAGCGCAGGCGTCCCACCTCCACGAAAATTTGACCGGTCCCCTGCAGCCAGGTCTTGCGTGCCCAAAGACACTTCAACTCTTCCACGGTTGCGTTGTGCATCAGGTAGATGGGGATGGGAGGCCCGAACTCGCTATGGACCATGACGATGTACCACCATCCTTGTCATAATCGTGATTGTGAACATAAACTGTGCAAAATCAATTTCCATTCGTGGTTCTGCACTGCCGGCCTGTTGCAGGGCCGTCCATAGTGCTGCGTGAAGACCTGCACCTCTATCCTTGAGACTAGTGGCTGCACTGTTTAACAAGCTGCTGTCAATGTACATTATTCGGTTTTGGGTCTCTTAGGTCTCGGATCTGAGGTCTTGGAATAATAAGGGCTTTGAATTTAGGGTTCTGGCATTTACGAGCCCGTACGACTTATCTACTATTATAGAAGCTTTGCTCCCAACCGCCTAGCCGCAAACCTTTCTCGATGATGGAAGAATTACTGTGAAAGGAACGTCACGGCTCTTACGAGACCCTACGACTTGTCTACTATTAGAAAAGCTTTGCCCCTAATAGCCTAGCCGCAAACCTTTCTCGATGATGGAAGAATTACCGTGAAAGGAACGCCACGGCTCTTACGAGACCCTACGACTTGTCTACTATTAGAGAAGCTTTGCCCCTAATAGCCTAGCCGCAAACCTTTCTCGATGATGGAACAATTACCGTGAAAGGAAACACCAAGGCTCATATGTGTGTTCCGTGGAAGGATGTAAGTTTCTTACACCTCTTTTGCTACGATTTTCCTGCCGAATGCTTCCTGACGAAGAAGCCTGACGAATGTAGCCTAGCTGAATGAAGAACTCATGCTGTTATGCAACCTAGGCACCTACCTCAAAGGTCTGAAGAATAAACAACATCATTCCCATGCGTCAGAGCGATCTTGTTGCTGCACATAGCTGTATACGACAATTCTGCACGGCCGCTAGCTAGCTATGGTGAAAATGTGCCTGCATTTACTGTAAGCACTCCATCATCTCTGCAATTTTCGTCTGCAATTCTGCCATAGAACCTTCTGGAGGTTGCATGGTGCGACAATTGATGCACCTCATGGCAGCTGCATTTCCTGCAATGTTCCTGTGCCGTTCATAGCAGGAACGGTGAAACAGGTGACCGCAAGGAAGAGCCACCACTGCCCATTTCGTTGGCAGGATATGATCTTCGTCCTGTGGGATCGCCTTGCCAATCTGGCCAAAGAGTAATTTCTGGAAGCAGAAATTGCAGGTTGTCTCTTGCCTCGGATGTTTGAGAACCTGGCTCATGAAGTTCTGATGTAAAGCCTTGTGGCAATCACTCCAGGGTCTCTCGCAATTGCCGCCTTCAGTGACCATGGGAATCATGTCAGCACAGATCTCCTGCGTTTTCACCTTCTTGATTCTTTGGCGGGTGTTGTGAGATGCAAGCTCATCACTAAGACGGCGGCACTTCTCCAACCATTTGTTGCCCTCCACTTCGGCATTCTCCACCTTGCGAGCCAGATCACGACTGTGATCACGCTCCTTCTTTTGAGAGTGCTTCAAATACTCGAGCTTTCGTCGAGTCACAAAGCCTTATAGACGGCTTTGCTGCTGCTGCGGCCTCGACTTCAACTATGGTCGCGGCTGAAGCTGCGGCTGCAGCGGCTACGGCTGCGGCTGCGGCTGCGACGGGTTTTGCAGTGCTTTCCATGACGAAAAGCGTTAACCATGATTCTGCTTCGTCTAGCTGAGGGTAGTAGGACGAGAGGTAGGGTTGAGGGCAAGAAGCGAGAACCTGGGCTTGGAAAACCTTTGCGGGTTTAGGGTTTAGGGTTTAGGGATTTGGTCCCCACAACAAGCACCAAAGCCTCCCCAATCCCTAGTTTGGCCCATAAACGCCTCGGAAAAATATTCGTAAATAGGTTCCTAGTAAGCCCAATACGGGAAAATGTAAAATGTCCCAAAGGCCTGCCTAGCTCTCTATCAACAGCCTGCAGAAAAGCGCTCAAACTTGGATTGTAAACCCCCGAACCACCCTAGACCGGAAACCCGAAATACGGTTGATGATATAAATCCTGCATTACCGTAAGGACCCTAAACTATGGGAATTATGGTATATTCCTTATTTTGGGTAATGCAGGATTTATATCCCGAAACCCTAAACCCGGAAATCCTATAATTAGATCCCTTAAAGGAGCCCCTTCAAGGTCCCCTTATAGATCCCTTTAAAGGAACCCCAGGATTTATATCATCAACCGTAGAACCACCAACAGAGCAGAACCCTCCTCCGCATGGGCACACCGAGACCTTCCTCGGCACGAGTCATCCGAGCGCTAAGATTAGAAAAGCTTCGTAAAGAGTTGAGGGATAAAACTAATTTAAGTTATCATGTGTAGGCCTTTTAGGGTTGAACCCTAAACCCTAAACCGTTTAGGTGTTAGGCTTAAAGGGTTTGGGAAGGGAATGGTTTTGGAGATGGTTTGGGGAACTTTACGGGATGAACCTCTTGGGCTGCAAGGGCTTCAGCGGCTTAGGGTTTAGGGTTTAGGCTTTAGGGTAAGGCCCTTTTAAGGCTGGGTTTGTACGGTTTGTTGAAGCATCTTATAAGGATCGCACAAGGTTTTGTAGGTTCTTGTACGTGGCGCGTATAGCTTGCAGGGTGCCTGTCCAAAATACAGGGGTTCATAGGGACTGGGTCTCTGGGATGCTGCCTGCAAGGCTTTCGGGGTTAGGATCAAACATAACACTTGCGTAGCCGTTCGGGTCTACTTGGAGGATCATGGGACTTAGTGTAAATAAGGTTATAAAACCTTAATCGGGTTTGTATGTAGCTGTAAGCACAGTGACCATATTTATACCCCTAGTTACTCAGCCACATGATCCTTTAAGCAAGTTTTAGGCTTAAGGTTTAGGGTTGAAGGGTTGGGCTTGAGTTTGCGGTTTAGGGTTTAGGATTTAGGGGTTTAGGGTTTAGGCTCATGACTGCGGGCCCGTGATGTCGAAGGCTCGAGGTTTGGTGCATCGGGTTGGGGTTTGGAGCAAGGGGCGGTGTGGGGTATTGGGCTTTAGGCCTTAGGGTTTAGGGTTTTAGGCTGTAGGCCTTAGGGTTTAAGGTTTTAGGGGCTTGGGGTTTAGGGTTTAGGGGCTTGCAGTCTTGGCTTTAAGCTGGAGTTGAAGATTGAGCTTGTTACTTGCTGAATGGCGCGACCTGACCTTGCTAGGTTATGTAGGGCTTAGGGGCTTCGGGTTGTTGGTTGTCAGGTAGGTGCCTTAGTGCTAGTGGTCCGGTTGATGATATAAATCCTGCATTACCCATATTAAGGAATAGACCATAATTCCCATAGTTTGGGGTCCTTAAAGTAATGCAGGATTTATATCATCAACCGCAGTACAATATGCACGAACGGAGGTGTTCTCATTATTCAGGCCCGTCTATCATGTTGAAGTTCTGGATGTGAGTAGGATCGAATCCCTAATCCCTAAACCCTAAACCCTAAACCCTAAACCCTAAACCACCTCTAACCAAGTCTCACTATTTAGCCACTATTCTGCCTCAGCCCTAAAGTCTAAACCCGCAATCCTACGCCCCCAACGGTCTCCTAAACCCTCAATCTCACGCCAACCCTAAACCCTAAACCCCTTCGTAGAACTCTTATGGATCCCTTTTAAAGGAACCCTTATAGATCCCTTTAAAGGAACCCTTATAGACCCCGTTCTTTTAAAGGAACTTTCCATGCCAAGGAACCAACCTGGAATCTGATTCGGAGTTGGAGAGGCCAACAGACTGCTGGCCAATGCAAACGCCGTAGACCCTCCACGTCTTGATGCCACTCCACTCGCCGGAGTATCCTTCGAGGTTTTTGGTTCCCCGAAACCCAAAACGTTAAGTCCTCAGAACCTAACTCCAAATGTTGTATGTGCATTTTAGCCGCGATCGCAAAGCGCTTCTTGCCTGACTTTCAACATCTTAGAACCACCCTGAACCTAAAACCCTAAAACCCTAAACCCTAAACCCTAAACCCTAAACCCTAAACCCTAAACCCTAAAACCCTGAACCTAAAACCATGAACCCGAAGACCTCCCCGGAGGTCCCGTGGGCAGGGTGCAATACCGGTCCAAGATCTTGGCGACCTGATCCTGGGACACGGTTTAGGGTTTAGGGTTTAGGGTTTAGGGTTCAAAGGCAGGGCTACGGGGCAAAAAAAGACTAGGGTTTCGGGTTCAGGGGTTTAGGGCTTAGGGTTTCGGGCTTAAGGCTTCTCTGTAGGCGAAAAGATTCTACCTACTAGGGCTTCTATATGCAATACCTCAAAAGCCACAGGTAGGGTTTAAAGTTCAGGATTCAGGGTTGAGGGCTGGGGTACAGGGTTTGGGCTTTCGGGTCGAGGGTGTAGGGTCACATCGGATATCCGTCGCTGGAAAGCATATTGAACGGTTTAGCGCCCAGGGTTCACTTAGTTGTCCAGTATCTGACGGGAACGAAATGGGAGTTTCCGAAAATAGGCGGCCCTAATATAGTACCCTAAATAGTAGGATCCTTATAATAAGGACCCCAATATAGACTACCCCTATTTTCGGACACTCCCAAATTGCGTAGGAGCTATGCGTCCTCAAAAAAGGGTTAAAGGCTGCCTACTCTACTACGAAGCTTGGGCCCTCTGTGATGGGAGAGAGGGTAAGCGCCCCAAAGCAAGTCTCATGATGGCGACGACGGCTACTGCCTGTTCTGAGGCGTAGTACTCGGCTCTCTGCCGGTTGATGAACCATGTAGTTGGGAGTTTCCGAAAATTAGGGCTACCTTATTTGGGGTCCTTAGAATAAGGATCCTACTATTTAGGGTACTATAGTAAGGTCCCCTATTTTTGGAAACTCCCAGTTCGTGTTCTTACTCGAGTCAATTCCTTTGTCAGTATGTTTGTCGTTGCTATGATCTGCAGCTGCCACCCCAAAACCCACAAAATCAAACTCTAATTAAGCCCCCAATGTATGGGCCTTAACTATTAATTTGAATAGGGTTTTGGTGTATATCATACTCTAACTAGACTCTAACTATAATAAGGAAACACCTACAAACCCTATATACTCTCATCGTTAATCAGGTCCCTACATGAAACACAAGGGAGGCGCCACTCGAGCTCTTTGGCCCCGCATGCCCGCAAGGTTCACGAGCGTCAGGACAGGCTTGGCCCAGCCGGTCGGCACGAAACCTGGATTTTGGGGGCCTAGGATTTTATGTTAAAGGTTTACAGGATTTGGGGGGTCAAAAATTTTGGGTTTGAGGTTTAGGGAGTTTAGGGTTTAGGGTTTCGGATTTAGACCTGGCAAATGTGGGGCTTAGGGCTTTGGGTTTAAGGTTTAGGGGGGCTCCCAGGCTAAAGCAAACCCACAACCCTAGAAACCCTGGACCCTAAACTAGCCCTAGACCCTACACCTCATAGTTAGACCTTGCCCTAAGGGTGCAAGTACCAAAACAGTAGGGTTTCAAGGTCCCAAAACCATTCAGTATGGATTTTGGGACCTAATTGGGTGGTTGTCACAATTATGGTCCCTTTTTGGGTCCCTATCATAATACGGCACCTAGTATTTAGGGTAGCCCAAAACGGGACCCTAATTTTGACGACCACCTAATTAACACCTTACTCTTTAGGTACTCGGGCCCTCGGGGTTGCTAAAACCCCTAAACCCGGAAGCTTCCAGCTCCCTTACTTAAAGGATCATGGGACTTAGGAACTAGGGTTCCTTAAAGGGGTCCTTTTTGGGATCTATAGGGGTTCCTTAAAGGGATCTATAGGGTTTAGGGTTTAGGGATTACTTAGAGGATCATGGGACTTAGGGTTATAATTAGGGTAACTATAATTATAACCCCACTTAAGGTGCTTATAACCTTACTTACTAAGTCCCATGATCCTCCAAGTCAACCGCCACATTTCAGACGCACATCTTGGAATGAAAGCCCCAGGACCTTAAACCCTAAAGCCAAGGGTCCAAGTACCTGATAATCATATACTCACCAAAACCCTAACCTACATAACTACTATCCTACAACCGAATATTAGGGTAAAGCCCTGACCGCAACAAGCTCTGAAACCCTTGCGAAACCCGGCCCGGAATGACCTGCAATGATCATCAGCTCCTGGACGTAGCCCTGGAGTAGCCCGATGCTCAAAGGGAAGCTCACGTTGCCTGAAAGCGCTTCGGGGGTCTCTACTGGTGGGGCGTAAGGACGAGCAAAACTCGGAACCGCTTTACAAAAGTCTAAGAGGTTGAGGTGTAGTGTAGACTGAATATTGAGTCAAAGGTAAAGCACAAACGCGTCCATGGTTCAGGGTTTGGTTACTGCGTAAACTAGTATAAATACGCCTGGTGCAACAGAACACGAAGGTCAGCAGGTGCCAGCAGCCTAAACCCTAATCAAAGCCGCAACAATAAAGCCCCAAAGCCCAAACCCGGAAAACCCTGAACCCCAAACACTACCCCAAAAAAGCACTCTTGAGCGCCTCCCTGACCCATCGCTGGGAGGTTCGTCGGCGCTGTGAGTCGCCCCGCCCGAATCTCGCCGATCAGGGTATTCCAGGCCTTTGTCAGAGACCTGGGCTTAGGGTTTGAAGGTTTTAGGATTTCAGGTGAAGGGTTTAATGCGTAGGAATTAGGGACCTGGGCGTTGGGCTTGGGGCTTCGGGTTTTACCGGGCTTCATCAGGAGTTTCACAAGGTTTGTAAGGCCTTAAGCCCGGTCGCATAAGGCTGTCTAGGGCTTTATAAGGGATTAGTCAGGCTTGACCCTACTGAAATTTGAACCTCGCACAGAGCCCATAGTACCTTGTCTTGGGGGCTTGTAGGTTAAAGCTTGGCTGCACGATGAAGGGTGCTGTAGGATTCTGAGGTCGTGGGTGCAAAAAAGCTCGGTTTCTACAGAATTTATGAAGGTTTATGGGATCTTGCTTAAGGTTTGTGGTAGGGTTTAGGACTGGACGCACAAAGCAGTGTAGCCGGTAGGCTGTGCTGCACTCTACCCGCAAAGCCGAAAACTAAAACCCTAAAGTCCTGAGTTCTAACACCCCAAACCCTAAACCCTAAAGTCCTAAGTTCTAACACCCCAAACCCTAAACCCTAAAGTCCTAAGTTCTAACACCCCAAACCCTATGCAAAACTCTTAGGCTCCAAAACCACACGCTCTAGACCCTACCTACAGTCTCCATTGTAGTTCCTTGCTTTGGTTACTGTAACCAGTTTTATGGTTAGGATCCTATAATAGAGATTTTGGTTAACCAAAACAAGGAACTACAATGGAGACTATAGGTAAGCCCTAAAAACACCCTAGCTGAACTGACGAGAGCTGACTGTTGGCCCCTAAACCCAAAAACCGTTAATACGGGGGGTTCTCAAAATTAGCGTCCCTTTTTGGGTACCCCAAATATTAGGTGCCGTATTATATCAGGGACCCAAAAAGGGACCTAATCCCCAAAACCCTAAACCCTAAAACCCTAAACCCTTATAACCCTAAACCCTAAACCCTAAACTGCCTAAACCCAGGGACCCCAAAAAGGGACCCGAATTTTGACAACCACCCAACAGATTTCCAGCTTTGGGGATTACGGCTCAAGGTTTAGGGTTTACGGGTTGAATTAGGGTTTTAGGGTTTAAGCTTTAGGGTTTAGGGGTTTAGGGTTTAGGGTTTAGGGTTTCATTAGGGTTTTAGGGTTTAGGTTTTAGGGTTTATGGCTTAATTAGGGTTTTAGGGTTTAGGTTTTAGGGTTTCGTTAAGGCTTTAGGGTTTTAGGGTTTAGGGTTTAATTAGGGGTTTAAGGTTTTGGGTTTAGGGTTTAGTTAGGGTTTTAGGGTTTAGGCTTTAGGGTTTAGGGTTTAGGGTTTAATTAGGGTTTTAGGGTTTAGGGTTTGATTAGGGTTTTAGGGTTTAGGCTTTAGGGTTTCGGGTTTAGGGTTTAATTAGGGTTTTAGGGTTTAGGCTTTAGGGTTAAGGGTGTAGGGTTTAACTAGGGTTTTAGGGTTTAGGCTTTAGGGTTTAGGGTTTAATTAGGGTTTTAGGGTTTAGGGTTTACGTTTTTGTGGTTCGGGCGTATCGAAAAAAGCATTTAAGGTGCATGCTTGCACTTGAGCGAGACCCGATTCCCGATTGGCACATCTCTAGGATGCCTTACGCACAACGTACAGCATGATGCAGAGCCTCCGTCTACCCACACTTACAACTTCGAATGACTTGCTCCGGGAGTTGATATCGTAGGATCGAGCAGCATCTCGTCGCTGAAATAATCGCATGGGTGAGTCGACGTCCATTTGACGCACATCCGCTCCTGGAAAGCAACTGCAAAAGAGATTTCTCAGCTAACCTGGCTTATGTTGCAAGAAACGCACTCAAAACAAGAAGACACACGACCAATGAAAAGGCAACGCATATTCAAAATGGCTCTGATGCCGCTCAGAATCCAAATGCCCAAAAGCCTGTGTTAATGCCATCCCCTGCCCTTTCGCGAACTCCAGGGTGTGGGGCACCGGTGGCATGTTGCCTTACTCTCAACACTCGCCCGGGGAAGAAACTGTCAGAATGTTTCGGACGCAAGAGAACCTGTAAGAACCCCAAGGTTCAATGCCTGCGTAAGAGAACGAAAGCCCTGAAAGCTCTCACAGCCTTACAAAGCCAGCTAAGCCCTGCGAAACCGGATGAGGCCGACGATATAAGACCCATCTAAGCTACCGTTGATGACCATCTTGGCAACTCGATCAGGGAACATGTCTGCATATACGGCGGCCACCGCTGTGCCATAGGAATCTCCGTTGAGGTTCCTCTGCAGCTTCGGACTTGCGCATGGTCACATGGTATTCTTCAGGGCTTACAAGATAAAACCACGTGTCTTCTAGAATAGAACGAAAGAACACTTTTTGGCGAGGATGGGGGGGGGGGGGCCTTTTCAGGTAACGGTAGGGTTAAGGGCTGAGAGCTTCTGCAGTGGGCTTTCGGGCTTTGGGGCTTTTAGCGTTCATTGCTTCAGGCTTCTAGGGCTCATAGGGCTTAGGGCTCTTAGGGTTTAGGGTTTAGGGCTTCTAGGGTTTACGGTGGAGCTCCAAAGTGTAAGAATTCACCTTGCTCCAGACCACACTAATCATACACGAGGCCTAATATAGGGGCCTAAATAATTAGAAGAGGGTTTTGGGGCCCATGATACTATAATTAGATAAGGAACCCCCATAATAGTATAGGTAATTATTAAGGCCCCTACACCTACACCAAATCCTTATAATACCCTTTGTAGCCCTTGTAAACCCCTTGAATAACACAAAAAAAGTCGTGCTCAACGACTAAGGGTCAGCTTTGGCGCGCAGATGCGGCTTCGGAAGAAGTCGATGTCCTGAGACTGAGAAGCCCTCAACCGGAACACACCTGCAGTAAACCCCATTAGGGGCCTAATAATTACCTACACTTTTTTTTGTTTGGGGGGGGGGGCTTGTTACAAAAATAATATAGTCCCCCAAAGCCCTAATCTAATTATTAAGGCCCCTATATTACAGTAAGCCCCATAAAGTTAGAAATCAGATTATGGCCAAATGGTGCTGGAAACCCCAATACATTACTCTGAAGGGTTGAGGCTATTGGGTTTCCAGTTTTGGGGCTTCTACTGTAAACCCTAATCCCTGAACCTAAACTGTTAATTGACCGTGGACAGAAATATATCGGAGGTTCAGGGTGTCGGGATTTTACGCCGGAGGGCCAATTGGGGTCGGAACAATGAGTGGCAATATCCCCCTACGGTCCTTCCGTATCTGTACTGTAGATTAACATCACACAAAACCCTTTTCTAAGTGCTAAGGGGACTATGTTAGACTTCAACAAACCCACCATCGCGTTGAAGAGGTGTCCCATTTCCCTCGTTTCATAGAGGCTACAAATGGCTATGAGTCCTTCAATGGGGCGGTGGAAGTGCTTAGAGATACTGGGGCATACTTGGTGGCCCAGGGGACTTAGTAAGTCGGTTTTAAGTAGGGTTATAATTGGGGTAACTTTATCTAATGTACTTATAACTCTACTCATAACATACTTCCTACGTCCACTGGACCTCTAAGTAAAGACTTACGGGATTCGAGTTTAGGTGGGTTCATGTTGAAGTTTCGGCTGCATGAAGGAGTACCTGCATTTCTCACGGAAATTCAGAGTGCTCGGAGGTTCATGGGAATTAGTAGGTAGGCTATAATTGGGGTTATAAGTCCCCGAAGTGTGGTTATCCTGATTATGACCTACTTACCCTTACATCCTAAGTCCCATGAGCCTTTAAGTGGTGTGGGCGTATAGCAACATCTGGTTTCAGACGGGGCCGGAGGCTCCTTCCTGCCCTCCCTGACCCATGCCACCCCTACTTGGAGGATCATTGGACTTAGTAAGTAGGTTAGAAGTAGAGTTATAAGTATCCTAAATGGAGTTACCCCGATTATAACCCTACTTATAACCTACTTACTAAGTCCCCTGCCCCACCCCTAAAACCATGGGAAGACAGGAATAGTTCCCATTCACTACGGCTGCAGGATTTACAAACAACAGTAATTAAGTCTGGCGCCTGATGGGGCGTTGGTGTATACTTTATGCACAATGAAGTGCCCGAACGAATAATGTTGGCAGTTGAATTATTGGGCAATGATTTTTTGCGGCCACTGTACTAACGCATTGCGCATCGGAGGTTTCTAGAGCAAACAAGCCCTGGACAGACCTTCTTCTAAACCCTAAACCCTAAACCCTAAACCCTAAACCCCAAACCCTAAACCCTAAACCCTAAACCCCAAACCCCTAAACCCCTGAACCCTAAACCCTAAACCCTAAAGCCGAGGCTCATGTGCCAACATGCGAGTCCCCGACCACTCGAGGAAGTTATACCTGGGCTGCAGTTTGCAGGGTTTGGAGGTACTTGGAGGGTCGGGGGACTTAGTAACTGGCTATTTTAAGGACTTATAAGTACCATAACCCTAATTAGGGTCCCTTTAAAGGTACTTATAAGTCTACTTACTACCTACTTACTAACTCCCCCGACCCTCCAAGGAGGTACTGGCTGAGGGGTGAGATGTCGGGTTTTGGGTTTAGGGTGGTCCAGGGTTCCGGCTTAAGGGTGGAATGTGGCAGGGAAACCCAAGAGCCACGAGAAAGAGGCCTATAGTATCGAGAGTCCTCAGAGTAGGGCCTAAACCCATATAAATGCTGAAGCATCTTTATGAAACCCTCTGATGCAGCTTTACTAAATCCTAAACCCCTACCAAGCCTGAACAACCTACTGTAGGGGCGTAAGTAATTACCAATACTATTTTGGGGGTTCCTTATTACAAGTATAGTATAATGGGCCCCAATACCCTATTCTAACTATTAGGGCACCGATACTGTAGGACCCTTGTAGATCCCTCATGGTAACCCTGTATAGACCCCTTTAAAAGAACCCGATTCCCAGCTCTAAGACCCAATTTGCTTCAGTAGCCCGGCTGCTAAATAGTAGGTTACTAACCATATGATATACCCCAGTAATCATAACCCATGTCCTTAATTACGGGGTATGGGATCTCTGGGTAATGGGCCATATGGGCCATTACCAGAGATCCCGATACCCCGTAATTAAGGAATGTACCGTAAACCAAAATAATAAGGCCGCTGGTTCAGTAGCCCGGTTGCTTCTTCCCTCTTGGGCCCCCCCTTAAACCTTAAACCATAATAACAAGGCCCCGCTGCTTCTTCCCTCTTGGGCCCGTGAGCATCCACTTGCTATCTGCGGCACAGCGCCGGGAGCGGACCGCCATGCTTCGGAAGAGGACCTTTGGGCTCAGGAATGGTTGAGGGTTTGAGGGTTTTAGGGTGTAGGGGCTTAGGGTTTAGGGGTTTAGGGTTTAGAGGTTTATGGGTTTAGGGTTTAGGGTTTAGGGTTTAGGGGTTTAGGGTTTAGGGTTTAGGGGTTTAGGGGTTTAGGGTTTAGGGGTTTAGGGGTTTAGGGGTTTAGGGTTTAGGGTTTAGGGTTTAGGGTTTAGGGTTCAGGATGGTCGAGGGTTTACCAAAGCCCCAAGAACCCACAAAAACTGTACAAAAACTGTAGGTTCCTGAGGCTCCAGGTAGGGTTTATAGTTTAGGGTTTTAGGGTTTCGATTCCGACATCTGTGGGTAGCCACTTATCGCTTAACGACTGCTGTTTCGTCGTCCAGCAAAGGCATACCTGTACGAATTGCGTCAAACGCCCCAAAGCGGAGCACCCTCACGCTGATTTAAGATAGGGGCCTCAACAATTAGAATAGGGTTTTGGGCTCCTTCATAGTATTAGCTATAATGAGGAACCCTAAGGAACAGTATAGGTAATTGTTAGGTCCCCTCTATTACTTCCATAAGTCCCTATCCCCGGGGGTGCAAGTTGAGGCACCTGTCCGATCCTTGTAGGGGACTTAATTGGAGTCGGGTTCCTTTTATGGGGGCTACTATAAGGAATCCATAAGGGTGCTATAATGTAGCGGCCTTCACAATTAGAGGGGTAGATTATACTGTGATTATGATAAGGAACCCGCAAAGCCCTATAGGCCCCTACATTATGCCATCTATACAAGGCCACAGAACCCGAACCACAGAACCCCAAGCACCAAGCCACCCCTTCCAACCCACGCAACAGAAAATGAAAGCAGTTCCATAACCCCAAACCTTAGACACACTCCCCAGACCATAAAAAAACGAATACTAACCACAAAACTTCACAACAACAAACTTGAACGCTAAACTCTGATGCCTAAACCCTAACCCTAACACAAACTGCCCAGAGCCTCAACTTGGGCCCTTCCCCACACCCTAAACCAGATACCCCAAACCCCGAAACTCTACACCCTTTAAAGGGAACCCTAAACCAGAACCCTATAGTACCCTTAAAGTGAACCCTGTTCTCACCTCTTCAAGGACCGGGCCCAAAAAAGTACAAACTCTCTACAAAAGACAAAATAGACTAGCCCAAAAAGTTTAAAGTTTTCCCATTGGCTGTCTAAGTATTATAGAACCCTATAATCGTGCCTGCAAAACAAAAAACCCTAGTAGAGCTCAACCCGGGAGTCGTTCCTTAAACCCAAAAACCCCAAAAACCAAAACCCCAAACCCGAAACCCAAAAAAGCAACCCTCCTCGAGCCTCAACCCGGCAGTCGTTCCCTAAACCCTAAAGCAAATTCCAAAGCCTACACCCTTTGAAGGAATCCTCCTACTCTAGAGCCCATAATACCCTTAAAGGGAGCCGCCTATTCTAGAACCCTTATGTAGTAACATACACACTTACACGAACCCTCCTCGAGCCTCAACTTGAGAGTCGTTGTTCGGGTCCAAGTTCGCGAAGGACTGGCCAACCAAGGGCGCGCCATCCGGCAACGCACACGGGCAGTCGGTGAAGTCGGAGATTTCCTTGAGGTATTTTGGTGGCTGCTTTAAGGGTTCCGTTCGGGGATCCTTCAAGGGATCTTTGGGGTTTAGGGCTTAAAGATCTCCTGGGCCATTTGGGGTCTAGGGTTTTAGGGTAAAGGCTCTAGAGAGTTTAGAGATCTCCTGGGAATAGGCTCCGTTTAGGATTTGTTCCCCAAGTGCAGCGAACCCTTTCTCTTCGCCACGGCTCAGCCAAGTTATTCGGGTGTGCACCCGAAAGCTCACCAGGTACGGGAGGGGCTGGGGTTCAGCGTTTAGCTTCTCGCATCGTCATGTGCTTCTACAGACTGTTCGCCACCTTCATCACCCAAACCCCCAGGAGGATCCAACAAGTTGATCCCTTACTGGGGGTTCCTATTAAGTGCCCTTAGTAGTTAGGGCCCCAAATTAGGGGATCTACTTTCTAGATCCTCTAAACCCTAAACCCTAAACCAGGGCATTGCTCATCTTCAACCTTCCTAGGTACTTCCCCTTATAGATCCCTAAACCCTAAGCCCTAAAGGATCCCATAAAGGAGCCCTTTAAGGAACCCTAAGCTTCTCTCCGCTGTCATCCGTATCATCATCACCGTCTTCTCCGCGGTGCCACCGCCATCATCAGTGCCGAAGCCGGAGCCTTCATTATTACTACTATAGTAGCAGTAGTAGTAGCAATAGTAGTAGTAGCAGTAGTAGCAGTAGTAGTAGTAGTAGTAGCAGTAGGCACCCCCCCTACCAACTACACTTGCTCTCAACCATGTTAAGACAACATCCATGTTACTCGGTATTTACGGCACTTTCGTCATGTGCGATCATCCTAAGAGGCCTAAAAATCGACTTGTCGAGTTTGCAAACTCGGGCTCTTGATTTTGGACTTGCTTCTGGGGGTGGGTGGGGGTGGGGGGGGATGATGACGACAGTGTTACGCGAACACACCCAACAGTATCACCACAAGAGCCGTTTCACTCGGTATTTACGGTACTTTCGTGATGTCAGACTTTGTTACATATTCTGAGCCCCTACTTCTCGACTATGCGTATTAAACTTTGCTGTTTGGAACTGTTTGCAAAAAACTCGAAATTGGGTGAGGGAAAGCTTCTTCGGGGATGATCCCGACACTGTTTTGCGGACACCCTGAACAATATTTCCACACTCAAGCGCGCACACACCACACACACCACTTCAAAAACAGACCCTCCTACGCAGAGGTTGGGCGGTAGGGGTGTGGGCGAGCCCCTCTCACGTACAGCTGGCATCTTTGTTTTTGATGTTTAGAAGATGTTGCGCTTCAGCTTTTAGAAATGCTAAACCCTTCTTGGCAGCACCTGGGTTTTGCCCACCCGGGGTTTATCAGTTTCTTCCCCGTCGAGCTTGCAACTCCAGCTGCTGTCGCAGTTTTGGGGCCTGAGCCCCTGCAACTTCACCGGCTGTGACAGTTAAGGAAACTGAGCCTCTGCAACTTCTGCAGCTGTCACAGATAAGGAGCCTGAGCCCGTGCATCTTCTGCAACTATCACAGTTAAGGTGCCTAGCAGCTACCGCTGCCCAGCCCGGATGGAACAAGTGTAGTTGGGAGGGGGGGGGTGGCTAGCAGTAGCAGTGGCAGTAGTAGTAGTAGTAGTAGTAGTAGTAGTAGTAGTAGTAGTAGTAGTAGTGGTGGTGGTGGTAGTAGTAGTAGTAGTAGTAGCAGGAGTAGTAGTAGTAGTAGTAGTAGTAGTAGTAGTAGTAGTAGTAGTAGCTGATAGCGGATGGAGTCTCGTACTGCGACTTTCCCTTCGGTGGGAACTTCATGTAATTCGGATCGCACTCGAAGATGGGATTGGCGGTCACCCCGATGCCACGCTGCGATATAGAGAAGCCAGCATAACCCTGGATGCTGTTTCCCAGCACACCTGGTTTAGGAATTAAGGTTTAGGGTCTATGGATATCTACAGCGCTCTTTTTGCTTTTGGAAAGGTTCTTTGGTGGTTTATTCTGGGTTTGTACGGATTTTATGAGGTGTCGAGCTCCTTGGTGGTTTCCGCCAAATGTCTTAACCGTACACCTCAATCCACGGCGCCCCAACCACCTTCAAGGAAACCCTAAACCCTCAACCCCAAACCCTTCACGATCCCTCACCGAAACCTTAAAGGAACCCTTAAAGGAACCCTACAGAACCCTCTGGTAGCCTTTATAGCAAGCCTTAAAGGAACCCGCAATGGAGACCTCGAATTGGCTAACATGCGCCAAAACTCCTGGGTTCCTGAGTAGGTCCTTTAAAAGCATTACAAAGGTTTCTTTCAAGAGATCTAGAACTAGGATACCCAGTAACCTAAGAATAAAAAGGCCTCTCTTTTTGGTATTGGGTAACTTTATAAGGAACCTAGGACTACAAAAAGGGAATAAGGGTACTACTGGGCATCCTAGTTAAAGAGATCTATAAGGGTCGTGCGAGAGATGCAGAGTCGCTGCTTCGAGGCTGGCCCGCATTCTCTCTTCATAGGTTTAGGGATTATGGGTTTAGGGTTTAGGGGAAGCACGGATATCGAACACCTTTAGAACCACACAAGATACCAACAAACAGTTCGGAAACCCCTCATGGGAAGAAATAAAACTACACATGCCGGATGGTAACCGAAAATGAACCGCTTTTAATCGTATAACCCCTAAACCCTACAACCTTAAACCCTATAGCCCCTAAACCCTACACTTTCAACCCTACTACCCCTGAACCATATCACTCCTGACCCCTAATCCCTAACCATTAAGCTCTAAACCCCAAGCCTAAACCCCAAAAACCTTAAAGGAACGCCTAAACCCTTGCGGGATCTATAAGTTAAAAGAGCCCTAACCACACACACACACATACACACACGAAGCCCTAAACTTTCAAACCTTAAATGTATAACTCCTAACCCCTAAACCCTATAACCCCTAACCTAACCCTAAACCTTAAACCCCAAAAAGGAATCGGGCCCTGGCACATGTCGCATCGCTGCCTGGCCCTCCACAGTGCACCAAAACAGGCTCGGACGGGCCCGGAGGCACCACCAGCATCACCTGGGGGTTTGCGGGTTCCGCTAAAGGGATCGGGGGGGGGGGGGGGGGGGGGGTGGCATATATATATATATATATATGTATGTATATACATACATACACACCCTAAACCCTAAACCGTAAACCCAATGTGTGTGTGTAGACATATATATATATATATATATACATATATATATATATGTATGTATCATGGCATACATATGTATATATATATATATGTACATTACAGAATCCACCAGCATCCCCTGAGGGCCCTAATCTCCAAAGCGTAAACCCGATTCTTGAAGGTTCCTTTAAGGGGTTTAGGGCTTAGGGGTTTAGGGCTTAGGGGTTTAGGGGCTTAGGGGTTTAGGGGCTTAGGGGCTTAGGGCTTAGGGGTTTAGGGCTTAGGGCTTAGGGGTTTAGGGCTTAGGGCTTAGGGCTTAGGGGTTTAGGGCTTAGGGGCTTAGGGCTTAGGGGTTTAGGGCTTACGGCTTAGGGGTTTAGGGCTTAGGGCTTAGGGCTTAGGGGTTTAGGGCTTAGGGGCTTAGGGCTTAGGGGTTTAGGGCTTAGGGCTTAGGGGTTTAGGGCTTAGGGCTTAGGGCTTAGGGGTTTAGGGCTTAGGGGCTTAGGGCTTAGGGGTTTAGGGCTTAGAGCTTAGGGGTTTAGGGCTTAGGCTTAGGGCTTAGGGGTTTAGGGCTTAGGGGCTTAGGGCTTAGGGGTTTAGGGGCTTAGGGCTTAGGGGTTTAGGGCTTAGGGCTTAGGGGTTTAGGGCTTAGGGCTTAGGGCTTAGGGGTTTAGGGCTTAGGGGCTTAGGGCTTAGGGGTTGGCTTAGGGCTTAGGGCTTAGGGGTTTAGGGCTTAGGGGCTTAGGGCTTAGGGGTTTAGGGCTTATAGGGCTTAGGGCTTAGGGCTTAGGGCTTAGGGCTTAGGGGTTTAGGGCTTATAGGGCTTAGGGGTTTAGGGCTTAGGGCTTAGGGCTTAGGGGTTTAGGGCTTAGGGCTTAGGGCTTAGGGGTTTAGGGCTTAGTACGTGAAATAAGCTGAAGAAATGTGACTCCGATAGACACCACTGGCCTACCGGATTCTGGAAAGCGCACTATTTTTCGAGACAAAAACGGCCTTGGTACATCCGCACGCCTGCTATGCAACAGAGGTTTCTCATCACGCACTCCCCCTCACCCTTACCTCCAAGGCAAGGGTGAAAGTGCCCCGTCATAGGAAAACAATAGAGTACATACTGCTAAACTAGTGCGCGAAACCCCTTCTGTACCCGTGCTTCTACACCGTCTGGCGGGACAAAAACTGGGATATATCCTCGATTCCGAACTCCGGGCTGCTGCCGGAAATCTTTTTAAAAGATAGTTCAAGAAGAGACCCAGCATCCCCTTCAAACACCTAACGAGACCGAAGAAATCCCAACCACGACCGCTCTTCAAGCTGAAATCTCGGGCTGGGGTAACGATTGGTCCCTACTATGCTCAAGACCCCTTCGATCTCGTAGAAACAAGCGCCTTTCGTTGGCATAGTCATGTATCAACTGACGGGCTTCAAACTTCGTCGGAAGACGACGGCTCACTGGCACGCTCTAAACGGGACAAGTAGTCACCAACAAGCCAGTGAAACCGATCTCGTACATCTTCTTCGTAGTCTTCAATGTCGATTGTGTAGCCCGACTTCCAAAGGGAAAACAGGATTCGGTCCCGGTGATGGACCCCTAATGGTAGTGGAAGAGGAACATACCCGGACCCTTCAGTCTGAGCTCCACAATCAACAGTGCCTGTCCTTCCTTTACATCCATGACGCCAAATGGTTCGTCCGATTTCCCAGCACAGAATTACCAGCACAGCCTGACTAATGCCCCACAGCGTAGAACCGTCGCAGCCAACGGAGGTTAAGTCCTCAACTTCACCGCTACGCGTAGCACTACAAAGGGCCTCTGAATGAAGTTCGGGATCTGGAATCTCAACTAGGGCTTCTAAAAACTCAGCGCTTGCGCCCTGAAGAATAGCCCACCAAATCACCAGAATCCAAACCACAATCCGAACTCCCCCGGAAATGCCAATGCTCAACCTTGGCCGCACCTCAGCCTGTTCAACGGACCCCGAACTCGAAGACGCTGCCTGACTTAAATCCCTAACCTCAAACCTGGCTTGCAAAGCAGACCAATCTCCGGAGTTTAAGCCCTGAACCACCCCATCAATCTCCTCACTGGACCAACCTTCCAAAGGTACCGTGAAGACATCATCTGCATAATGCACAGTTAGGCCACCCTCACGCGCTTCGTAGAAGGTAGCTGGCAGCCCTGGACTTTCACCACCCCCGGGGTAGCTGGAAGCTTCAAAACGGACTTCAGAGGTTCCATCTGAAGTTGCCGACACAACCGACGGCTCCGTAGTGGACGGTCCCTCTTCTGAAGACGAACTATCCGGATCAAAGAGCTCCCTAGCTACCACACCATACAGAACCTCTTGAACTCTAGCGGGATTCTCAGGCCACAAGGGCCTTTCATCTAGGGTAGGGTCATCATCCCGATCCTCCAGACCAGGGTGATTCCCTACTTCTCCAAAAGGGAACTCGCGATTTCCAGTTTGCACATAAGCATCCGCTGCATCAAAACTGCGTGCCCCGTCTGCCACAAACAACGGGCCTGTGGCCCTCAGCCACATAATCATGGCATACAGAGCATGCTCTCTAAAGCCCTGCGCGACAAGCTTCAGTGCACGGATTTCCCTCACTCTCGTTCCTAAGTTCGACAGCAACTCAAACCCAGCAACAGCAAACACACGCCAAAGGTAATGCGCTCGGACTCCTGGGGCCCACTCAATATACGGAAAACCAGAGCCTCGTATCCTGGTCACCTCATCACTCATCCCCGGAATCCCGTTCACTAAGAAATTCTGAACAGCTTCGACCCACTGAGGCCCCTCATAGAGCGCACCATGAGGCCCTTGGCGCAACCAGTCTGCTATCGCTCCATACAGGCAGAGTCTCACAACATTCGCAGTAGTTCGTAGCGCAAAGACACCCGTAGTGCGAAGCCCGATCATCTGAAGTAGAGGTCCCCCTACACTATTGAACATATGCGCAAGAAAGTGCATCTTCAACCAGGACCCTACCAAAGGCCAATCACCTAGGGCATCGCCTTCATCTAGATAATCCTCGTAATACACCCCTGTGTCCTCAAACGCCGCCACTTGCATTCCATGACTGGATGAACTTCCCCCTACCTGAACCCGAGGCGTGGGAACCCGAGGGCTAACACCCCTATGCAACCGTCCCTCGACATCGCCGGCACTTTGATTGGACCAGGTATCACGGTCAACAGCTCTACCCGACTCACGTGAAAACCCAGAACCACTGCTTCCCTCGGACTGCCCTTCTGAATGAGCTGGGACTGGAACCTCTTCTGGCCTACTCCCCCTGAACTGGGCCTCTGAATCCGATGGGACTGGAACCTCTTCTGGCCTACTCCCCCTGAACTGGGCCTCTGAATCCGAGGGGACTGGAACCTCTTCGCCACAAGGCCTGAGTCTACCAGGAACCCACTGAAGACCTGCAACCCCCGGCACAACCCTCAGTTCGACCTCCCATTCCTGATTCTCAAAAGCTTCTTGCGTTATCCCCGTGTTGAAGACCTGAAGGAGAACACTCAACACCGGGTGTCGACTCAAAGACACCGCCGCGCCACACAGAAATACCCACTCAATCGCTCGAATACCCAGGCATTCTGCTAGCAGCTCACCGTGCCTAGAGAACAACCCAACCAAATCTTCGAGCCCCGATCGAACCCTAGGTACCGCACTAGGAAACCTAGGTCTATCCGAAGATGAAGAAGCTTCGTCAGCATCGACACCGGTGTACCATTCAGGGATTGGTCCGAAGCGCTGCAAAAAGTTCGGAACGTCTACTACGCCTCCTGCGGCAATCTGTTTCCTGAGTCGGGCCCTCTGAACGAATGTCAAACCAGACCGACGTTCTACACTCTCTAGCTTGGCCTGGGCCTCTAACCACTCTGCCTCAGAAAACTCGTCATCCGAAGCTTGGTTCGCCCCGACTTGATGCTCCTCTTCGTGGATGCTACCTTCGCCCTCCTCGGACAACTGATCATCAAGACCTGAATCCCCTGGGAGTTCTTCTACTCCCGTCCTAGGGCCTCTTAGAAAGCACCACGATCCCAACACACAAACCGCCGTCACAACAACCGCTAATGACCACCACAACCAACCCACTCTATCCTGAAAACCCTGATGGTCCGGCTGTCCCTTCACCTGTGGTACCATAGCCAGTATCGCGAGACCTGCCAGCAGTTCGGCTGAAACAGTCGGCCGGTTGCACATCCCTCGGCTAAAAACACGCGCTACTGCTACATCCTCAGCCTTAGCCCTAGCCGCTCGAATACCCACCAAACTAAGTAGATGCATGATGCGTGATCTACTAAGCGGTTTCGTTCCAAGGTCTGCCACCTGAAAGGTGCCGGGGATGTGAGCGACGCGCAAAACGCCCGCGGCGACTCTCTCTCGGCCCGCGGCCGCTCGCATCTTAAGGTGGCGACTACGCCAGCTCGATCCAGTCGTTTCAAAGGACCGCAAAGCGGCTTCGCTATCGCTGAGAAGCGAAACGGTGGAGTCCGCCTCAATGATTTCTTCGAGCAATGGTTGGATGGATTCAGAGATCTGGACTGCATGCACAAGACACACCAGCTCGGACTCCGCCGAGCTAAGAGTTGTGAAAGCTTGCTTCGTCGTTTCCCACGCAATGGGTACCCCTTGCCATAGAACCACCAAGGATTGCATAGACCTATCCCCACCAGGACTGTGGGAGGCATCGGTGTACACTTCCACTATTTTTTCAGAGCGCGGTAACGACAGCAAGCCGTGATCAGCAAACGGGCTTCCGACTTCGAAAGGAACCTCAATTCCAAAGTCAATCGTTGACCGAAGATACCTCAGCGTTTGCATGCCCACACTAATGGATATCTGAGGGGACTTCGTCGCCTGTTGTCCACAGCGGGAAACCGCGTAGG